ATTCTAGACCCAAGTGCATGCAGTTCTTCACAGCAAAGGCTGCCATGAGCTGGGACACAATAACCAATCAGAATTGCTCAGCTTGAACTATGGACAAAAGATATTCAAGAACTACTTTTGTACAGTTGGGTTAAAAATATCTAAGAAAGAGTACAGATCATCTGGTGACAGATCTGAAAAGGAGGCACATATTTAGACTGGCATAACAAATAAACTGTAGAAGGGCAACACCTAACAGTACCACAGACAAAATCCGCGCACAGAGCAGACTTCATGGTGCACTGAACAAGCCACAATCCTACTCTTGTAGAAGAACATAGGAAAAGGTAGAGAAGAGTTTTCAAAACTATCAATGAGGATTTTTATCAAATTCTGCATCATTATTGCTTTGGGAGTCCTAAGACAGGAAAGGTCACGTTCAGCACTGTCCTGAACTTCACATCTGCATCGAACAAGCCTACAGGAAGATACTGGGGTTCCCAGCTGTGTCACTGCTCTAATACTTGACGGGTAGCAGGAAGCATGGGAAAAAAAATGATTTTTCCACAAGAGAATCCCTGTGTAGTGAAAAATTATGGGACTTAAAAAATCAAATACACAAACTGACTAAAATTAAGTTTACAACTAAGCAGAAGACCAAAAGAGCTGCTCCAGTAAGCAAGAGTCAATATTCCACACATTGTAAGTTCAGCTCTACAACAAACAGAAGGCAATAGTAATGTTAATTTTATCTTAGCCATTGCACAAGTTTCAGTGGTACAATCAGGAAAGTGTTTGCAAATGAAGGGTCAGGGCTACGAGCGAGCTTACAGAAACCTGCTGCTTTCCTGCAAAGCAGGGATCAAGCGAGAAGAGGGCCATATCATTCTCTTCTACTTGTTCCCAAATACATCCATGTCAAACGCTCATAAGATTTACAGATAAGTGGATCACTGGAACAGTAAGTTGTTCAAGAAGTGGAATTCCCCATAGAGCTGTGACTCTTGCCAACTTCCACAGGCATTTTATCTGCTTACAGACAGTGGGGTTTTAATAAGGTTGCCTTCTGCCTCTCTTTAACACTCTCATATCCTCAGTAGTGGGTGCCTCTTTTTTGCCTTCAAAACAGGGTGGAGTAAACAGATCACTGACTGATCTCTGTCCAATTTTGCTGTATTTGGTGAGCACAGCTGGCAAATAGTTTCTCTGGACCAGAATGCAAAATACACTTGAAAGTTTTTAGGAGGCAAAAAAACCCCAACAGTTGAAAGCTAGGGAAAGGAGTCCTTCCTCTACTGAACTAAAGTCTGAGGTGACCAGCACATTCAAATGGATGGTTCGCAATGAGAACATGGTACATACCGTGAGTTGGAAATCAGAAAATTGCCTCAAGTCAGCTTTCTTCGGTCCAGACAAAAAAACTTTACTGCAACACTAAGCTCTTAGAAGGATTATTCCACTGTGATTACCTTGGCCATAGTGTGCATTTACAGACAAGCAAAACACGCAATTACAGAGCAATAGCCTATAATTAGAGCTGAGATTTGATGAAGGCATGTTAGGATAACTCAGAAAGTGGTCATTTCACAAAGAGCAACAGCAAATGGAAATACCACCATTATTTTGTACCTAGAGTAAACTTTATGTTATCAGAGTAGCAGTGCTATAGTCAGTGTGTTGCAGCCCAGAATCTTCATAGCAGAATCAACTGTCTTGCAGCAAATGGGTAAGAACCACCAATTCAACAATAGGTTTGCTTTATACCCTGTGTACACGCAGGAGAGAAAAGCAGCCCAGTTCGCAGAGTCCTGGCTTTCGGCCCTCTGCTCCGGACTCACTAGAGGCTCAGGTCACTGCAGAAGAGCAGGATACACTGCAACGCAGGTTGCAACAAAACCAGTAACAAGAAAACTTAATGGGGAAATTAAAGCAAGTGCAAAATCTGCAGAATTCTTCAGGGTTGGTACAGTGTTACTAGCAGAGCTCACACTGAGGCAACACACCAAGTGTTCATCCAGAAGAGCTTGCAACATAGAATGGCAGTAAGTAGCTGATTACTAACTGCTAATACACATTTCAAGGAAAAAAGTACCGCTAAGTCAGATCAACACGTTTTCCTCCTATGACAATGTAACAAGTCCAAGGAAGATGGAAGCAGCAATGCATGTAGCATCTGGACTTCCGCAAGGCTCCTGACAGCATCTTAGCTGCTATTTTCATAAGCAATTTAGAAAAATGTGTATTCAGAACTAGCTTACAATGGTGTATACAACTCATTGAAAAAACCACTCAAAACTGATCACTGTCAAACCGGAACAATGTATCAAGTGATATCTTCAAGAGTTTGTCCACAGTCCAACAGTAAGCAACAGTGTCATTAGTTATCTACATGATGCAATATATGGCACCGTTATGAAAGATCACATTACCGGGGGTGGGGTGGGTGGGGTGGGGGGAGTTGCTACCCTACTATATTATCAAAAGATAAATGAAAATGGTCTTGACAAATCTGGGAGTGAACCCACAGAGCAGATTTCTTCCTATTTGTTTTAATAAAGACAAATGTAACGTATGCTTCGACACAAATCCTCATCTATACAAGATGGAAAAATCATTTGCTTGCCAGAAGTTCTACAGAAAGTAGTCTGGAGCAATAATGCATCAGAAAACAAATGTGCATCAACCATATATATAAATGGCAAGTTTCACAGGTTGATGTACAAGAGTATCTTTGGTAGGACAGGTGAAGCAATTCTTCCCCCTCTAGTTAACACCGACATGGCCCTAGTAACAATCTTATGTCCAGTTTTCGATATCACATTTCCAGAAAGATATAAAGCAATTGAGGAGAGTCCAGGGAAGGGATGGAGGAGGGGGGGAAAAAAAAAAAAAAAAAAAAAAAAAAAAAGAAAAAAAGACTGGAGGTCTAGAAAACATGACATACCAGAAAAGATTGAAAGAACTGGGTTTGTTTAGTCTGAAGAAAAAGATGACTAAAAAGAGACATGATAACAGTCTTCAAATATGTAAAAGAAAGAAAAACTACTTTCCACGTATACTCCAGATAGAACTAGAAACAACAAGCTAAGATAGCAACAAAGTATGTTTTTCATAATGTCTAACTGACAGAAAAATTAAACATTTGGAAGATTGCACTACGGGCTGTGGAAGCATTAAAAATTTTTAAGAGCAAACATACCTGGAACCAGCCAGGTATAAAAGGTTTTCACAGAACCACTGAATGGACCATATGACTTCCTGAGGTCTTACTCAACACACTTTGATTCTGTGCTGTAGGCACAGAACTTGATTCTTTTATTGCTATTTGTGACCACCCATTGAGTTCAGAATGACTAGTCTCTTTATCTTAAAAGAACAACTACTCTTTCTAGGATGACAAGAAATGCTCTGTAAAAAATACAAGAACTACTGACATTCCCCCAAACTGTCTTTTCGAAACGATCATACAACAGGAGACAAGCATTGTCACTCATTACCGATGAGGAACAAGCTGTAGAATTGAAACAGGAATGTGATATGTTTCTGTTTTCAGTGTGGTTTACTTATAAAAGTGATTTTCCTCTTGTGTATAAGATTTACTCTGAGAGAGGCCTGGCAAGAAAAGATGTAAGAAATGATAAAAAGGAGAGATTATGAAAGTGAAGTTAAGGCCAAAATAAAAAGTGACATCTACTAAACTAAGTGCAAAAACTCTTATGGGGTAAATGAAGCTCAATAACTAACTAATACGAGTTTTAGTAATTCTGAATATTGCCAAGCAATAAGTTTACTGGCCAATATATTCATCAGTGCAAATTACTGTAGGTGGCCACTGCTCCCCTCCTCATGCCATATCTCCACAACTACACTGAGATGCAACAAAGCTCTTTCTGCTGAAAAGCTGCTACTACGGTGCTTTGCATTTTGTGAGGTCCCGAGCTTGTGGAAATTGCTTCTTCATCACATATGGAATATCCTACAGACGCCAGTCCACAGTGTATGCTGTAAGGCACCTTTCCTCTCCTAGGTCTTCAGAGGATAGCAGCAAACAATTACAAAGCTGAAAGCGACGCGACCAGAGAGATGCCCTGAAAACGTTATCTACACTGACAGATAGGGTTGTGCAAAAGAAAGACAATGTAATGCATCACAGGTTTCCTAGACAGGGATATTTAACAGCGGTTTGGTTGAAAGTGGCAGCCTGGTTTTTCTTAATGTTTTCTTAAATAAATTAACTCAAATTAGACCTTAGCTAGGATCCTAGATGCTTTATTTATTTAAAGATCCTCAAATGGACATTATTAATGGTCCAAATTTTTTGCTGAAAGCAACTTCCAGCAATGTGAAATTTCTCTAAAAGAAAACATAGGACAAGCTTCCATGGTGCTTTGGAATTAGATAAAAATCCATGCTTTCTCTCTACAGTTCACTAAATAATGTAGTTTTGGTTTGAGGTTGTGCCTTATTTTGCCTCTTCCTGCATTTCTAGACAAAACTATTCCCTTTACTCCACTATTACTCTTTTTTTTTTGACCACTGCCAAAATGGTTTTGGTCTCTTGTTTTTAGAGTAAGTGGCCACCGTAATGAGAAGAGCTGACATATTAGCCTACCCTCCTTTAAGTTTGGGCATGTCACCAAATACAGCATTTAAACGGATATGTCAAAAAGTGCCAAGAGGAGGAACGAGAAGATAGGTGTGGGGAAAACAAACAAAACAGCTCGCTTCCATTGCAGAATGTCAGATGAGCAGACAAGAGTCGTGCATCACCCGAGGAGCAGGGCCAGCTCTGCATGGGCGAGCAGACAGGAACACAGCACACTTACTGAGCAAGCATGCTAAGGAACAGGACAGGGTTATATACAGAATTTGTCAAAGAGAGAAACTGAGGTGATCTGCTCAACAGGCAAGTTTGATGAGTTGTTCTGAACGTTCAGAATACATCTGCTTTCTTACAGTGCACTAGATGAGACACATTACTCCTCTCTCACCCCCATCCCTCTGAGCCCAAGGAGGTTTACCAATATTTGGATGCTTTAGAAGTCGGCAGATTCGAGCTTCACGTTCCAGTTTCTGGTGATCTGAAAGAGAATAAGAAACAAAGCATTAAGCATCACAACTCTGAACTAAGCTCTTGTTCATATTCAATGGAGAAAGGAACACAGTGACCAGCAGACAACCAGAGGGCTGGGAATTGTTGGAACACGACTGTCTCCCAAAACCTCACAGCCGTCTCAGGTCAGGGCTATGCAGCTGAGGCTGCAGGAGACCTCCGCTCCCACTACACAGCTAGCACTAAACCGATGTTCCCTCCTTGGATTCAAAGTGAGTAGCAGCACAGTCAAAGACACTGCTCTTCCATCAGCCTCACAAATATGCAAAGACACTTCCACTGACATCCCTTCTGAGACTTACCCCCTTCTCCAAGGCAAGAGGAGGACAAAAGTCTCTGAAGAAACTGCCTACATGAAATGGGAAAAGGACCTGCTGTCACTCCAGAGAAACACTGGGGAAGAAGGGCAGAGTAGGAGGAAAAAATAGACAGCTCCTGCTAGGGCACAGCCATCACATGAAGTAGGGAACTCTGCCAGCTCCAGTGAACTGTAAAGGTAACCATACTTCAGTACCCATGGACGGACTCGCTGGTGAAATGCTGATCAAGCACTTCAAGATCTTCAGGCGAGAAGTTCTGTCCAAATGCTAAGTATGCTTATTCCAGCCTAAAGGCAACATCAGTTCGAGCACAACTGTCATCTGGATTAAAGAAAAAAAATATCAAGGAGAGTAAAAACCGGTTTCTCCTCCTTAGAAATGTAACGTGTGTGAGTGCAAGGAAAGGAGTGGGAGCTAGAGCAACTCTGCCTATCTCAGCCAAGAAGAAGGGGCCTTCTAGCCGCTGAGGCTCAGACAGGAGATTTCACTACAGCAACGACTGAGTCCTGAACTTTCACTACAAAGCCTTCACCCTCTCAAGTGAAATGCTCACATTGGACAAGCACAGATTCGCTGAAAGGATCTGAGGGAGACAAATCTTTTAGGCAGCCCTGGCAGCTGCTAAACTCTAGACTTTTGGGGATGCAGGTGCCTAGAAAGAGGCAAGAAGCAAGGACTGCCCGTTCTCCCCATTCCAGCCATCAAAAGAACATAGCAAAGGGAAGCAGCAGTCCCTGCCTGCTCTTGACATTTCTTCTGTAGCTGATCTTCAGCACACAGGCTTGAAAACACACCCTCTCTGCATCCTGTGACACATAAGTCTTCTCCACAGGAGTAAGCAGGTCCCTTGGCTGGGTGGGCTACTCAGCAGATCACTAGTAGGAATGCAACATCCTGCAATCTATAGGAAACCCACTAGAGACCGACTTCAACACAGCCAGACTGCACTGCACTGCCTGAGAACAGCCCATGCAGCTCCATGGTCTCTGCATGGTCTTCCTTTCCCTTTGTAAAGGAAGGATTTGGCCAACTGTTCTCTTCCCCATGAGCAGAAGACGGAGACTGAGCCAGATCTCAGCTCAGAACATTTTTCTCTCCCAGCTGGGAACAGCAGCTCAGGGCACTGCAGGATTTCTGTCTTCTTTCCCACTGCTGAACTGTAGAAAAATGTCTCAATACTTTATAGGGCTGAGATGTGCTTACATCCTCATCTGCTACTGTTCAGGGATGGGGGAAGGTAAATTACTCCTTTCATCTCTCCTTCCTTCTCAGTCCTGGAAATTATTGTTGTTGTTGCATATATTTTACAGTTCTATGCCAGAACCACTCTCCAATAAGTAGCAGACAGCAAGAAAGCCTGGAGAGCTTCCACGCTCCCAAGGCCTTGGTGCAGAGCAAGCGTTTTCTCACCTGCATTGCTGGGGAGGGGTGGGGGTGCCTTGGCTCCCCTTTCAGCAGCATCTCTCACAAATTAAGTTTTGCAAAACACAGTTGCAAGGTAACAGACTGTGCTGCATACTCTGCACCTGGGCCAGATTCTCACAGCGGGACAACAGTTTAAGATAAACTATGCACAGCCCGCTTGCAAATTCCCTACTTACCCTCCCAGCTCTACTTGGAACTCCTACAGAAGGGGATCCTTCATCCACCCAGATCACGTTGCCCTCATGCGCAGTTACGCTTGCTGAGAATCTGTTCCCAAGTACAAGGACACAGGGAAGCAGACAGCAAAAACAGCTGAGCAAAGGGGGAAGGAGAGGTAAGAGCTCACCACGTGCTACTCAGCCACCCAGTCCTGACAGCCAGGACAGACAGCTGACAGGAGCGAGGCTCAAACAAAATGACATAACCATCAAAATGCCACGGGAGATGTAAATCAAGAGCAATTGCTCCCCTGAAATCCTACACCATCATGCCAAGGGAGGGGAGCGGGCAGGGCAGCTAGTGATCATGGGCAGCAGCCACACCAGAACTTGTGACAAGAGGTCATCACCCCACATCCCATCCCTCCTGCACCACACAGCCTGGCCGGAGACCAGAGGAGTACAACGCTCCGGTCACAAGGTACAGGAAACTATTTCTGGTCAGGGGGAAAGCATACCACACTCTTCTGTCTCCAGGGCAACAAAACAGGCAAACTCAAGCACAACTCGAAGACAGAAAGCACACCCCAGCCCCCGGAGCACCAGTCCACAGCAGCCAGCCGCCACAACGGAGAGCAGTGAAACGTCAGGCTGGGCAGGTTTCCTGCCGCGGGTCCTGGAGGATCACAGATCCCGTTCCGGCAGGACCACCCATCCCATTGCAGGTGGCACCAGATCACAGCCCAATCTGTGACTTGAAGAGTCCCCTCCACCCCAACCCCAAAGAGTCCCTTTTTAAATCTTTCTTCATCGCCCGGTGGCTTTTGGCATTTGACTCTTGTTCCAGGGATCAGTGGCACAGTTGATTTGGTACTTGTGGGGAACAAACTGGTACCTAAATGCATAAGCAAGAAACATGGGGCTGCAATTTTTCTGTCTTTCTCTGGTCTAACAATGGTTATTCCCAGTAGGAGACAGAAAAAAAAACCAAATTTCTGTGAGTACAGCAGAGCAGTCAAAGGTTGGGCTTTAACACATTTCTTACATGGGGTCTCACTGAACCTTAAAAATGCAAAGTATTCTTAACTGTATTAGAATAACGATGAAAAGATGACATGGGTTCAGATCCCTGCGTTACCAAGAGCTTGCAAAGCAAATAATTTTGCTTCCCTCTGCCCAAAAGATCAAACTTATTTCTGCAAGCCATCATGCACAGTGGAAGTACATCTCATAGCTAACACAAACACAGCAACACATCTGACCTACCTTACAGGATCCCAGGCCTGGGACATTAGGCCTATTTCACACCTTTCCCAAACTATGCAATTCAACCAGCAATTTCCATAACTTGCCTAAAATACAGTATATCCTTTCCAAAACATACAGGTTCACATTCAAGACTTCAAGTGATAAATAAAGCCATATACCCACAGAAGTTACTCCAAATGTTAGTTATCCTTCCTGTTAAAATTTAGCACTGCTGTTCCAAGTCTGAATTCATCTACCTCCTGCTTCCAAATACTGGATTTCATTAAGCTCTTTTCCCACTATATTACAGAGCTGCCTAGCCCTGAACAATAGCTGATGCTTAAAACTTAAGTACAGGATATTACAAACACTCATCTAATATTCATTTACTGTTTTCCAGCCAAAAAAAAAAAAAAAAAGAGAATCTTGCTATTTGGACAATTCTTCTATCTACAGTCTGAAGCAATAAGTATCCACACGGACAAAAAAGTGCAGTCTACGTAGCTCTTTTGTACCAAAATTAAAAAGGTAAATGCTTAAGGAGATGGTGCTTAAAAATGGCAGGAGAAAACCTTCTGATATTTGATACATAAACTAAGGTATGAACACATATTTCTCTTTATTAGTCCTTTATATGATGTGATTTCTGTATCTTGGTTCAGGATGTGAAACTACATTTAATCTAAGTACCTTTAACATTATTGCTCTGCAAATACCGCACTCAGTGTTGTTCTAGTAATGTTAGTACCAAATTTCTTCAGAATATACCTGATAAGAAACTGCCTATTCAGAGAACTGGGATTGGTTTTGATTTGGACTGGGTTGGGTTTTGATTTGCCTAGGGATTTACTTTAATAGAAAACAAGAATGATTGCATTAGAATCATTTGTGAGAGTTAAGGACCTGCAAAAATGAAACTGCTCCATTTTATACAAACATGCAGTCCATTCACTGGGACAGGACTGCTTGTGCACAATGTATAGACAGAAGTGGCCATGTACAATTAATAACGTCACTGCTGTAAGAATCTCTAACTGAGCAAGTTAAAACAAAACCAACCCTGCCTGACTAGAGAAGACAGCAGACCAAAAGCATGATAGTTTGGCCTGTATGTCCTAAATCAAACTTCAGCAGATAAACAGGATAACGTGATGTAAGAGAAAGGTGTATACAACAGGAATAAAAACCAAAATGCAGATAGCTTTACTTTATGAAAACCTAGCAATCTCCAGTAGGGTGGGGAATATGACTACTTTTACATTGATGTGCATTTCTTACTCTTTTGTAAGACAATCCCTTCATTGTCTGACCACTTCAGTCTGTTACCCCAAAGATGCAGTGGCAGAGATGGATGAATAACATAAGACCCAACTTCAGAGCTCCATTCTTCTCCAGGGAATTAGTTCCCAGTTTTCTACTTTTTCCTTACCAGTTCTTTCTCCTCCAAGGGTAGCCGAGGCCTGGAGGAGAACATTTTCAGACATACAGACAGGCCGTAGGACATCTACAAATCCCAGTAGTCTAGAGCTGTCAAGTGAGAACATTTATATAACAACAGCAAAAAAAAGATGGGAAAAAAAAAAAGGTCACTGTGCCTAATCAGTCTGTTAGAAAGCTGTACTGAGGAGAAGGGGTTGCCAGGGAAGCGCAGGGAGACAAGTCTGCATGGAGCTGAGGTACGCATGCAATAGGCAGAGCCTGGAGAAAGACACCTGCAACAAACCCGAAAAGGAGATCAGTCCCAAGCAAGCGAGGTGAGAGCTGAACTTGAGCCGGGGAGCAGGAGAAGATGCCTAGGTGTCAGGTGCCAACATGCCACCCTGCACAGGCCGCACAGCACGAAACCCTCCCGGCTTCGGACATAGCTACGATGCCCTGACTGACTCCCGCTCCTGAGAGATGCGGAGAGGGGTTTTGTTTCAGTTGCAGGCAGCTGCCACCACGCAAACATGCTTTCCAGCCCGAGCCTTGCCACAAGCTCTTCAAGGGACCAGTGACCAGGGAGGCTGAAAGCGATGTGCCTTTTGCACTCCATCCCCTCCACCTGCCCAAGGAACACTAACATTTATTGCTCTAGGAACAAAATCACACCTATTTCAGGTAGTTCCTTCTCCCGGCAAGCAGAAGACAGCATTAAAAACTAATTGAAAGAGTGGACAAAAGAGTTGTCCATCAAGATTCATCAGTGAAAGGGATTAATTTCACACCTATCAGAAAACAAGGTGGAAAAAGTTAATGCTACCATACTTTCTTCAACAAGCATTAGAAACACATCACTGTTTTGAAACAGTTTCATGTGCAAAGGAGCACACCCACTGCAGCATTTACTGGCTTCTTTTACCAAACTGCAGCTATACTGAGGTCCTG